CATAAATCAAATCAAATCTGACGAATCTTCGTATTTCTTCAAAGCGAGATATGGACATTGGGCTCGGTATACAGGATTGGCAAATTCATCACAAAATAATTTTCTCGCAGGAACATCCCAGCTTCTGTCAACTCCCGCATGAATAAGTAAACCACAGAATGCAAGAAATTCATCAACAGTTACATCTTTCCACGGTTTTCCTTTTGCTCCATAAACACGTTTGCCCTCTAAATTAGTACAGTTTACAATTTCTTGTACAATAACTGGAGTTACAAATAATTAACTGAAACGCTTCTTTTGGTGTTGCAGCCATATGTTTCCTTGCTAGTCCTGGCGCACGCCGAATAATGTTATGTGGTTGAATTTTATTTTTTGCTGGAGGTTCCAAACTCCAAACCAGACCACTTGGAGCAATGTAACCGCTCGTTGAAGGCTTACCAATATCATCAACATCATCCTCTGAATTATCGTCACCATGATCAGAACTGGATCCAGAATACTCGTCAGGAACCAATTCGAAATTTCTATCTTCTGTGTCATCATTTTCTGCTTCTGACACATCACTTTCTTCAGAAGGCTTTACATTCAGCTGCCCACTGCACCAATATTTATATATGTATCTCACAAGTTTACTCAATCCAACTTCTATTCCAACTGAATAAAAAACAGCTGCACCTACTTTCATACATCCAACAGTAATGCACGTTTTAACTTGCACAGACACGCACAATTCCGCGCAGCAGTATTTGACAAATTATAATAACCCTCAACCTGTAATGAACAAGTTGAAACTTGTTCTATAGTAACTAGTAGTACACGGGCTTCAGAGGCCCGATTTATGCAAATACGGGGTGCTAATGGAAATGATTTTTTTTTCACTAATTACACTTGAATGTTTTTGAATCAAGTGTGTTGAATAAAGACGTGTTTAGAGCATATCTAAATGCTCAAGCCGATTGAAATTATTTTAAGTAAATTATGAGTAACTAAAATCTCGCCGGGTCTGAGAGGCCCGGTTTATGCATCCTAGGGTTAACCCTTAACCCGAAACATAGGTCCAGCAGACCAACCCAACGCGCGGGGCGTATGCGCATATATACCTTACAGTTTGAATTGTGATTGTGCAATGTGATGGATTAGAAACATACAGGTCTGTGAAACCAGTTGTTTCGAATTACGGTAAGGAGGTCCTATAGACCAGTGTTTCTAATTGCATATACAATACTAAACAAAAGTAAGTGTATAATGTGTATATAAAAGTTATATAGCCCATATTTTTAAAAACCAGTTTTATTTTTAGCAACTACAGATAAACCAGGTCCTAGTAGACATGGTACCCGTATAAATTTTGAATGATCCAGATTTTGAAAATGAGATACACGAGATGTTGTTGGCTAACGGAACGAGTTTATATTTATCGGACGAAGAACATGATGAAGTAGCAGATGATTCCGACTAAGATCCGGATTATATTTTAGAGGATAGTAATGATTCAACTGATGATGAATCAATGTCAGATGATGATTTCCTGGAAATAGAACCCAGAAATGATGCTATTAGGATGAATCTCGAAGCAAATGTTTTGGAAGGAAAAACTGAATCCGACGAAGGTTTCAGTGGACGTCGACTGAACCAACAAGAAACACTGAAACCAGATCGCATAACATCATTACAGGTTTACCAGGGCTAACTACAATTGGTAGAAATTTAGGAAATAACCCTTCTAAAGAAGAGATTTGGAATACACTAATCGATAATGATATGATCGATGAAATTGTTTTACGTACAAATGAGAAAATGAATAATATAAGAGAAAAATTACTGGTGACAACCAATAAATCAAATTATAGAGATACGAATTCTACTGAGATCAAAGCGCTGCTTGGACTTCTTATGTTGTCATCAATTATGAAATCCTCACATGAGGATATGTGATCCCTATTTTCCAAAGATTATTTGGGACGTCCCATTTTTAGAACGACAATGTCTGTTAAAAGGTTCGAAATTTTACTAACTAGCCTTAGATTTGATAACAGCATAGATCGGGAAGAACGAAAGAAGTCAAATCCAACAGCAGCAATCTCTGCTATTTTTGACAAATTCATTTCAAACAGCCAAAAACTATTTTCCATAGGAAAATGCGTTACTATTGATGAAATGCTTATACCTTTTAGAGGTAAATATGGCATAAAGGTAATGTGCATGACTGACGCACGCAATTTGTATTTCTACAATGGTTACATTTACGCAGGAAAAGATACTGATGGTGTAGGGCTCTCTGAAGAAGAGAGAAAACTGTCTAAGCCTTCACAATGTGTGATTAGGTTGTGTAAACCTATCGAAAGATCAAACAGAAACGTAACTGCAGACAACTATTTTACGTCAATAGAAGTAATTGATAAATTAAAAGAATCTGGCTTGACGTACGTAGGAACTCTAAAAAAAATAAACGGGAAATTCCCAAAGAATTTCTAGCGAATAAAGACAGAAGTGTTGGTACAACACTTTATGGTCTTTCAAACGATCGTACATTGATCTCTTATGTACCCAAGAAAAATAGAGCAGTTCTATTAGTTTCAACTATGCACCATTTTAAAGATAATGAACTTGGAAAGCCAGAAATAATTAAATATTACAACCATACCAAGTCAGGAGTTGATGTTCTCGATATGAAATGCGCTAACCGCAGAACAAGACGTTGGCCATTAGCTGTATTTTACACCCTAGTAAACATTAGTACAGTAAACAGTTTTATTTTATATCTGTGCTATCAGGGTAACAAAATGATATCACGTATTAAGTTTGTGAAGGAGTTGGCTTTTGAACTGTTAAAACCTCATCTGAGGCAAAGGCTAACAACAAACCTTCCTGGGGAACTGCGGTCCAATATGGAGGATCTTTTGGGATTCGCTGTTGTACATCAAGTCCATAATGATGAAAATACTCTTCCCGATGACAAGCTTACAAAAAGAAAAACTTGCAGTATTTGTCCATCATCAAAAATGAGAAAAACGAATTATTGTTGCATCCGTTGTTCCAAGCCAATTTGCTTAGAATGTAGTCGAAAAGTTTGCGTCACATGTATTCGAAATAATTAATAATTATAATTTGAGCAGTTATTACTATGAATAAAATTAAATATGTAGTATATTTGAATTTTTAATAATCAAGGTCTGGTAGACCTGTTGTTTCTAATAAGGTTGAGATTTCAGTATTTCGGGTTAAGGGTTAAAATAACAAAGTTGTAGGCTACTTCCGGTACACTGGATGAATAGCTCCTGCACGTAAAATCTCAGAAACGTAGGAAACATGAAACCTAAACATTTCTAACGGTCTAGTTGCGCGGAATTTCATGTACAAAGAAAAGCAGTGCTCTCACATATAGAAGATCATAGTTTTTGGTAATTTCTCCACCGATTCGCATCCTGCGTACCTTGTTGTCTTCTAAAAAGAGCAAACTTTACGTAGAAGGTAAAAAAGAATTTTTCTGCGACTTTCCACGGATATTGAATGAATTTTTAGTTCACATTTTGTCTAAAAAAATCCCTTTTTCACATATTATCGGCCATTGTTTTAAAACTACCGAACTGATTGGAATAAGTATTAATACCATTTATTGGCTATACAATACTCTTTAATTTGATGAATAGCACGACTAGATCGGTCATCTCTAACTCGAGATATGCTGCAAATAGTCAAATTTCCCCTAAAAAAAATCATAGCTCCAAAACGTATCCATAGAAAAAAATTTAAATGTGATTTTTGTGTTAATGGTTAAATGTACATTTTATGAATTTTTTTTATAGACTACTATCCGTGCAAAAAGTCAAGGCCCCTCACTTTAGAGATCGATATCTTCGTAACCGCTCGATGGAAAAAATTGCAGTAAACTTTATTGTAATCAGAGAACATTTCTGCGTATCACATGTTAATTTGAAAAATTTCGGGTCCGCGGTTTTTCTTTTATCGCGAGTTAAGTGAAAAAACTACCCGATTTTTGAGAGTGCCAGCAACTTTGTCTACCTTGCGATTTTTTTTCTTCAAAACTATTTGATGAAAAAATTTAAATTTCAAATTTGAACTGGTGGTAAACCGATGTATTCTTAATATGGGGCATATTTTATTTTTTCGATATTCTATATAATTTCGCGGAAAATCGCGGTTTAGTAGGATGCCGTTATTTCGAAAACGACCTGGCGGATTTCAACGCGGTTTTTACAAAAATATGTCAAATAATGTCGGTTGTCGGATTCCGTTATCAGTTTTTCAAAATTAGGGCTTCCTAATTTTTTAAGACCGATTTAATGGAATTATAAATTAAAGAGAAACAGAAGTAAGTTCTGCGGGGAGAGGAGGGTTCCGTCCAATCGAAACAGATGGTATGTTCCAGACAGTACGTCGCGCCTTTATAAAGAACCTACCTTCTTTACCTACATAAAGAAATAAGGCGCAACGTCCTGTCTGGGATGCACCATCTGTTCCGATTGGACGGAACCCCCGGCACCCCGCAGAGCTTATTTATATGCCACTCATTAAGAACGCATCAGGCTATCACCTGTTCAAAATTTTAATTTTTTCGTACGATAGTTTTCGAGAAACAAAATCGCAAAGTTGCCGGTACTCTCAAAAATCGGGTACTTTTTTCATTTAACTCGTGATAAAAAGAAAACCGTGGATCCGAAAATTAGCATATGTTACGTAGAAATATTCAGTGATTACAACAAACTTAGTCGCAATTTTTTTTATTGAACGGTTGCGAATATATAGATCTCTAAAGTGAGGGGCCTTGACTTTTTGCACGGATAGTAGTGTTATTTAAGGAAAATATTTAATAAAAAAAATTAATTAAAAAAGAAGATTTTTAATCTCTATAAATAAAAAAATATATTATCTTAAAGGTTCTTGACACATAGAACAGTCCAATTAGGACCGTAAATATTTTATGGGCCAATGAAAACGTAACAGGACTTTCGCATCAAGTCGACTAATAAAATTAATACCTTTTCAAACGAAGGGTGTTTAACGTCCAACCTGACCTCGTGATGCTGAGGATCAGATTCGTCGATCTTCCACTCGAATCCTCCTTGTACGGTTTTGTTGTTGTCTTTGTCGTAATGTAGGCCGACGTCACTCGCGAGAAGCCACCCTGTATAGTTGTAGGAAGCCGCGGCTGTGAAATTTCTTTTGGGATAGGAAAGGTTTATCTGTATTTGTTGGGCCTCGCACAATGCATCCTGAAACAATTGATTTCGTTCGAAAAGTGATTCTTTCAACCGAAGAGCGGTCACGTTACCGTCTTGTTCAGCAAATCTATGTCGTACGCCAACCAAACCTTCGGGTCCAGTTCGAGGTGCGAGTGCTGTTTGAATTGCTGGTCCAACATATCGTAGTTCGTACGAAACTTAACCGTCCGATTTGAATGGATCGCTGTTAGTGAAATCTCCCGTCCAGTCCCAGTTGTTTCAACCACGAACTCGCCGGTTATATTCAACGCAGTCCTATTGTACAAGTTATACACGTTTGCCCATTTTGTATCCTGTATTGAAATAACAAAAATTTCCCACTGTATTATTGCAGGAACTAACTCGACGCTAATTACGCTCAACCCGGCGGATGCTTATTTAAAGGAAGTAGCGACCGGAAAAAAAAATAGTAACGGTAAATAACTGCGGATTCCAATATTGAAACTTAAATCCTCATTTCCTAATAAGTTGAAGTGTATCGCCAGAGCTGAAAAGCAGATCCTGGTTTGGGGAGTAATTGGAATTTGAAGCGTGAAACGAAAACGTTAAATAATTCGTGGGATAGGATCGGTTTTGAAATGAAAACTAGCAAACAATTGAAAAGCGGACTGATGCTAATGTTCTGCGTGTCCGCAATGGCGCTAACGTAATTGAAGCATGAACAGAGAAATACGTGACATTCAAAACTGTCGAATTCCACACCAGATAGTGGAATTTCGCCAGCTTTGACGTAGATTGCCGGAGATTGTATTTTCACCCCGGTCGAGTGAATATTAATTTGGGGCTGTCTAACTTTTATCTGATTACGTTTCGCGTTCAGCGGGTTTTAAACCGATTGAATCCCCCAACTTCTGTTGCAAACATCGATTAATTTATAATTATTTTATGAATATCCCCTCAGACCATTAATTTAAGCCTTTATATGCGTACGCGCCGGATTCATAAATGTGCTCGCGGATTTATCACCAATTCCAACTTTCCGGAGAAGATTTATTTATCAAAAACTTGACCCATCTTGCGCCGCCGAGTTACGAGACTATCCCATCATTCATTTTAATGTTCCAATCAAAACAATGATGCAGAATCGGAATGGGTAGATCGCGTGACTTCGTTCCCTGTTCATTTATACTAAGAGCTTGCCTAAGAGAATCTCATCTCTGCCAATTTCCGACAGGATATTTTGTACACTTTTTATAGAAATATGATCGGGACCACCCAACAACTTGAAAACAAGTGGTAAGGAGTAGCGGCGTTAATGAAATCCAGAATTGGACCGGAACCCCTCCAAAAAAAAACCAGTTAGGAACCGGTTTTTTGCGTGGCGCGTAAACACGTTTGGCGTTGAAACGGTTGCCTGCGAAGGGACGGTCGAATTGCGAAGTGAGGGAACGCGAGGGGTTGCGAGGGTTGTGTAGGGTTGCGAGGGGCGGCCCTCTGAACGGGAAAGCGTAGGTCTGGCTATAGATTACGGTGGATTTTATAGGAGTAGCTGATTTATTTGATGCACCCACCACGGTTGGGATGTTTGCACCATCCCCGTCTCCGTTGTACTTGTATTCGTGTACGTAGTCCGCCCCGATGGGATAGTGATCATTCTTCAGCTCCCAATGTATGTTATCTTTATTGAAACCGGTTCGAGATTCCGACTTACTGTTGTATTTACCAACCAAGATTTTCTCCTTGTTGTACTCCACCGTTCCGTTACCAACAGTCACTTGATCATTCACCTTGCGGAAAAAATAAACTAAATTGGCGCTTTTGAATACGTCCTAATTCATACCTGATATCCATAATCTACACGAGCCACGTGCCTTGTCGCTAAAGGAACTTCAATGTTGATCACCCCCTTCGTTTGGCTCTCTCCCAAATTTCGGCCCCTTGTTATTTTGCATTTCGAGTCCAATAAGGCGGTGTTATTTACCCAAAACACTTCTGTGAAGCGGTTTATTTCCGACCTACGATAAAACCATTATCCCTATGTCTCAATCAAGGGGGGTTGATATAATAGTAAATAACTGCACGCGAAGTCGTAATTGTACCCGAGAAAGTTTTAATTGTAACGCTATGAGGTCGAAGTTCAACAAGGTTAACGGGTGTCAGTTACGATAAAAAATTAATTAGTTTACGAGTTTCTATTTTTAATTTGAACTTAAATATTTGCAGAGCGGATTTATTAATTAGTTTGGTATGTATATAATATACTAACGAGGTGGTGAGGGTGACGAAGTGAACCCCGATGTGGTCGAACCCTTTGAAGGGTGTAGTAACGTTCACCGTTCCATTCATATTCCCAAATTCCTTGAAATCAACGTCCGCTCTACCAACAAGTCTGCTTCCGGGATTAAACACCTTACAGCTAAATAAACGGCACGTTAACCCCCATTAAGTTTAACCCTCGAATCGGTACTTACGATACGTTATGGTACGGGAGGAACCTCGTATATTTCAGGTACGTCGCTATGGTTTTACCTTCCTTGTAGTGCGATGTTCCCAGGGTATACAAAATATCGGTTACGTTCTTTACGGTATCGACAGCGGCGTGGTTCTGAACGAAAAACTTTCCCCATTCCAAATTTAAGTCTCCACTTAAATGATTCAAATCACCATACTTTAACGATCCATCAATCCCGTAATTTATATTTGATCCGATTTTCTTGTATTTGCCCAAATAGTCCAACGCAGTGGAATTATCGAATATGTATAACTTTCCATGAAGTGAGTGTACTTCATTAGTAGCCGGCGACAACTTTACGTTCACCTTGACGTCTACCTTGTTAGGGCCAGGCAAAGACAAAGTCAAGTTGCTTCCCGCTCTGTAAGCACGGCCCGCTCGTTACATAGGACTGTAATTAGGACTAAACTTACCCCCAGGTGCTATTCAAATTCACGTCGACGCCTACTTTCAATAATTCGAATGCTTTTCTTGGATTTGCATAAAACGCGTTAAAACTTGCCTTCTTACTGCTGTTATCCTTCCGGAAATTACCCCGCAAATTGACACTCATATCTTCCAATAACATCCATGACCATGAACCTTCGGCACTTCCACCAGAATCTTTCAATTCATAGAAACCATTTACGTTATGGTGGACAGCGCCCATACTATTACAAAATGGTACTATATTAATAAATATTACATAACTTGAGTACTGACAAAATTTTATAAAAGCAAAGTCACTCCAAAGTTAACATTCTATTATTTCATATATTTTCATATTCTGTTGTAAATTGGTTATATTAGAATCTTAATTTCTTGTCTTTGTCTTCGAAGACGTCGGCCGCTCTAAATATCGTGAACAACTTCGAAATCGGCCGAGATATCTCTTCCATAAACTTCAAGCAGGGTAGACTTGGTTTTATGCTCCGAATGCCGAGTGATACCATCATCAACTTTGAAAACTACGAATTCATCAAATTTTTGTAAGTATTATCCATGGTACTTGAGGCGGCCGAGACTGTTACTTCCATAAAGTTGTTAATGGTATCACTCCGGATTTGGAGCATGAAACCAAGTCTACCCTGCTTGAAGTTTATCTAACAAGGGAAGTATGGGAACTGTCCCTCCCCGATTCTGTTGCAATTTGGTACAGCGACAGTATGGCCAAAAATAAGGCTGTCGTATTTTTTTATACGTGCTAATAAAGCCCCTTGGGCGAGTTATAAGGGTTGGAAATCGGGGCGAAAGATATATATTCGTTTATAGCCTGAAGATGAAAATAGCTATCGAAATGTGGTAAATGTAAACTGATATTCATTTTCAAACAGCTTTCCATTGATATATCACACATATATCTGAGGGCTTCAGGGGGTAAACTACCCCTAGTTTTTTTGAACATTTTAAAAACTACCGTGTCGATTTTGGCGATATTAACCCTAGGATGTATAAACCGGGCCTCTCAGGACCGGCGAGGTTTTAGTTACTCATAATTTTCTTAAAATAATTTCAATCGGCTTCAGCATTTAGATATGCTCTAAACACGTCTTTATTCAATACACACTTGATTCAAAAACATTCAAGTGTAATTAGCAATCGAAAAAAAATCGTGTACTACTAGTTACTATAGAACAAGTTTCAACTTGTTCATTACAGGTTGAGGTTTATTATAATTTGTCAAATACTGCTGCGCGGAATTGTGCGTGTCTGTGCAAGTTAAAACGTGCATTACTGTTGGATATATAAAAGTAGGTGCAGCTGTTTTTCATTCAGTTGGAATAGAAGTTGGATTGAGTGAACTTGTGAGATACATATATAAAATATTGGTGCAGTGGGCAGCTGAATGGGAAGCCTTCTGAAGAAAGTGATGTGTCAGAAGCAGAAAATGATGACAATGAAGATAGAAATTTCGAATTGGTTCCTGACGAGTATTCTGGATCCAGTTCTGATCATGGTGACCATAATTCAGAGGATGATGTTGATGATATTGGGGTTACATTGCTCCAAGTGGTCTGGTATGGAGTTTGGAACCTCCAGCAAAAAATAAAATTCAACCACACAACATTATTCGGCGTGCGCCAGGACTAGCAAGGAAATATATGGCTGCAACACCAAAAGAAGCGTTTCAGTTATTTGTAACTCCAGTTATTGTACAAGAAATTGTGAACTGTACTAATTTAGAGGGCAAACGTGTTTATGGAGCAAAAGGAAAACCGTGGAAAGATGTAACTGTTGATGAATTTCTTGTATTCTGTGATTTACTTATTCATGCGGGAGTTGACAGAAGCTGGGATGTTCCTGCGAGAGCATTATTTTGTGATGAATTTGCCAATCCTGTATACCGAGTCACAATGTCCATATTTCGCTTTGAAAAAATACGAAGATTTGTCAAATTTGACGACAAGAGAACCCGGAATGCGCGTTTGGAAACCGATAAGTTAGCAATGGTGTCCTACATTTGGGATTGATTCATTCAGCAATGCAAAACCTGCGTCATACCTGATACTAATGTAACTAATGGTGAACAACTCGTTGGGTTTAGAGGTAGATGCACATTCGTTCAATATATGCCAAGTAAACCGGCAAAATATAGACTTAAAATATTTTGGATGTGTGAATCTACGTCTGGTTATGCTTTGGATGGTTTACTTTATGTTGGTCGCCAGCCCGGAGAACCTCCACATAAAAACCTGGGGCTTGAAGTAGTACAAACTCTTGTGCGTGGCATTCATAATTCTGGTCGCAATCTCACGATAGACAATTCCTTCACTAGTGTTCCGCTAGCAACTTATCTGTTGGATAAAAATATTACTGTTGTGGGTACACTACGTCAGAATAAGCGTGACATTCCGAAAGAACCACCCCAAAAATTAATTTTTTGTTGCGAAAATTCTTTGCCGATTTTGATGTAATTTACCACGATGATCTTTTTATACGTTAGGTAGTACAATGTTCAAAGCAGATAACATATTCGTCTTGGCATCAAAGTCTGGTTAACTGACTTTTGCTCATATGAAAAATTGGCTACAAAATGTCTATTTCCCAAATACCGGGCCCAAATCATTACTATTACTGGGTTGTTGGAGTGGCCCTTGAAATAATTAGTGAAGTAACTCCATCGGATGTTAAGTTTAAACATTTGTCTATACCTGCAGGGACAACAGGTCAAATTCAACCCCTGAATGTATTTGGTTTTAAAATATGGAAAAATTTCATTAGAAAATTTCTGATCAAATTATTCTCTACCAATACGATGTTAATATGCATCAGCGAGATAATATTTTAAAATTGTAATCCCTAACGCATAACCAGTTGTCTTCCCTACGATTTATTAATGTTTTTAAATACGCGTGGTTTGCATATGGATATATAGAGGAGAGACCAGAATAGTTTGAAAATTCCGTGGCGGTTTGCTTTTCTAATGAAAAACCTAAGTGCGATATCTGTGGAGATATAGTTGTTATATAACTGTGCATGGTGTAAACAATCGTTGTGTTTAAAACATTTTTTTTATGATTTTCATTATTGCCAACAATACATTGAATAAGAAAAAGTAAAAAAAAAAAGAAATTAAATTAATAATGTAGAATACAATTTGTGACAGTCAACCATTCTTTTGTCAGTTACTTTTTAACTCGTTATTAATAAATATTTGTATAATTACACTAACTTTTCTATTATTTAAGTAGAGTAAGGATAACTAATATAAAAACTTCTTCTGTAGGAGTATGAAAATTATTAGCGAAAATATATCTTCTACCCCAAACTTCTAACCCTTGTAAGTTCTTTCAAAAGTACTACCTAACGAATAAAAAAAATAATCGTGGTAAATTGCACCAAAATTGACAATTTTCGCAAAAAAATTAATTTTTGAGGTGGTCAGGGTAACCCCAGCCACCTCCAAATGTCATATAGAGTTTATTTTACTGCGTAACTCTTAATTTATACCTAATTTATGGTTTTCTTCAAAATATTGTTTAAAACTGTAACAGTTTATCACATTATTCTTAACGAAAGGGGCAGGGGATGGCCAGAGGCAAATAACAAAAAACACGTAATTAATATTTTTAAACGTACTATAAGTATACTTAATATCACCAAAATCGACACGGTAGTTTTTAAAATATTCCAAAAAACTAGGGGTAGTTTACCCCCTGAAGCCCTCAGATATATGTGTGATATATCAATGGAAAGCTCTTTGAAACTGAACATCAGTTTACATGTACCACATTTCAATAGCTATTTTCGTCTTCAGGCTATAAGCGAATATATGTCGTTCGCCCTGATTTCCAACCCTTATAACTCGCCCCAGGGTCTGTATTAGCACGTATAAAAAAGTACGTCAACCTTATTTTTGGCCATACTATCGCTGTACCAAATTGCAACAAAATCGGCTAGGGACAGTCCCGACACTTCCCTTGTAAGAGATATCTCGGCCGACTTCCAAGACGTCGGCCGCCCTAAGTGTTGTTCATAATATTTGGAGCGGCCATTCATATATTTTCATATTCTATTGTAAATGAGTTATATTAGAATCTTAATTTCTTGCCTTTGACTTCGAAGACGTCGGCCGCTCCAAATATCGTGAACAACACTTAAGGCGGCTGACGTCTTCGAAGTCGGCCGAGATATCTCTTCTATAACTTCAAGCAGGGTAGACTTGGTTTCATGTTCCGAATGCCGAGTGATACCATTAACAACTTTGAAAACTACGAATTCATCAAATTTTCGTAAGTGTTATCTATGGTACTTGAGGCGGCCGACGTCTTCGAAGTCGGCCGAGATTATTTTTTATATTACGAACATAACTTGGAACGGCCGACGTCTTCGAAGTCGACCGAGATTATTTCTTCCACAAAGTTGTTAATGGTATCACTCGCGATTCGAAGCATGAAACCAAGTCTACCCTACTTGTAGTTTATGGAAGAGATATCTCGGCCGACTTCAAAGATGTCGGCCGCCCTAAGTGTAGTTCACGACATTTGGGGCGGCCGAAGCCTTCGAAGTCGGCCGAGATTGTTTCTTATATCACCAACATAACTTTACTAAATGAAAAGTTTCGTTCTTTATTTGTAATTATAGACGATGATATGGAATTAAATTGATCAGAACTCAATTTCAATAGTCTTTTGACACTCCTGGTCTATTATCAGCCGTTACTTGTCACGTTATTTTGCCTTTTATCAACTCCAGTATTTTCATAAATTACATTATCAATTAAATCAATATTAGTCTTAATATTGCATAAATAGCTGTTTTTGCAGTTTTCAACAAAAACAAGATATCATGGCTGAAGATATCATCAGAAGAAAATACCAAATATCAGAGCAGAAGTGGTATCATTGTCATTTCGAAAAAAAAACACATTGTACCAAAGCAACATACTATAAGTAAAAACAAAATTTTATGGTCAGAAACAAAATATCATGTTGAGCTCTTCCTCCTGATTCCATTCTATAACATTCATACTACCCTTCTTGTAGTTTATGGAAGAGATATCTCGGCCGACTTCGAAGACGTCGAATCTTAATTTCTTGCCTTTGACTTCGAAGACTTCTGCCGTCCCAAGTATAGTTCGTGATATAAGAAATAATCTCGGCCGACTTCGAAGACGTCGGCCGCTCCAAATGTCGTGAACAACACTTAGGGCGGCCGACGTCTTCGAAGTCGGTCGAGATATCTCTTCCATATACTTCAAGCAGGGTAGACTTGGTTTCATGCTCCGAATGCCGAGTGATACCATTAACAACTTTGAAAACTACAAATTCATCAAATTTTCGTAAGTATTATCCATGGTACTTGAGGCGGCCGACGTCTTCGAACTCGGCCGAGATTATTTCTTCCACAAAATTATTAATGGTATCACTTGGGATTCGAAGCATGAAACCAAGTCTACCCTACTTGTAGTTTATGGAAGAGATATCTCGGCCGACTTCGAAGATGTCGGCTGCCGAAGTGTAGTTCACGATATTTGGGACGGCCGAGATTATTTCTTATATCACGAACATAACTTGGGTGACCAACGTCTTCGAAATCTCGAAAGCCCAAATTATTGTTCATGATACTTGGTTACTCCCTTGGTTCCTTGCAATTGGAATTAAATTGATCAGATATTCTGATTAACCCGAAATTTGCAAATATTTCATGAAAATCAATTTTTCAAAGAAATGAAAATTTTCGTTCTTTATTTGTAATTTAAGACGATGAGATGGAATTAAGTTGATCCGAAATCAATTTCAGTAGTCGTTAATGTTAAGCTGCTTTTGCCACCTCTTTGCTGGACTTTGCCTTCAAGTTACCAGTACTTGTGTTTTTAAGTATCTGATTGTAGGAATCCATGTTGCAAGTTATATTATATATGGGAAAATGTACATGTATATATACATATAAAAATATAAAAAACTCCTTACTTGCTTAAATTTTAAATATTTATTGGAATCGGTTTCGACACATAAAGGTCATCATCAGCCAAAATGTCATAAATGAAGAAAATGCTAACGTTGAATTTTATAAAAATAACACATTGAATATTAAAATCTTAAAATTTAAATAAATACACTAAGGTAAAATGTTAAAATTAAATAAATATGTTACGAATTAAAATGAAACGTACAACAAGACGAACACAGCGCACGTTGTGCACATTTTGGCTGATGATGACCTATATGTGTCGAAACCGGTTCCAATAAATATTTATAAATTACATTATTGATTAAATCAATATTAATCTTAATATGGCATAAATAACTGTTTTTGCAGTTTTCAACAAAAACAAGATATCATGGCTGAAGATACCATCAGAAGAAGATACCAAATATCAAAGCATTTTTTTCGAAATGACAATGATACCCTTTCATTGTCATTTCGAAAAAAAAACACATTGTACAAAAGCAACATACTACAAGTAAAAACAAAATTTTATGGTCAGAAACAAAATATCATATTGAGCTCTTCCTCCTGATTCTATTCTATAATATTCATTAATTATATAAATTAGTCCGTTTCGGGAATGACTCCCATCATCAGGTTTAGAAAAAGTGACAAACTATAATAGTTATTTATATTACAAGTGGGCTAAAAACGTAATTACAGTACGAGTGTGGAGAATTGCACGACGAGGTCGTAGACCGAGTCGTGTAATCACACGAGTACTGTAATTATGCTCTAGCCCACGTGTGACATACAGCATTTTATCTACGACTGCTAAAAATTACTAAAAAATCAATTTCTTTAGAAAAGTGTATTTGACATTTGTAAAAATATTTTGAAATGATTGTTGACAATTTTGAATTGTCAGTTTCAACAACATGTTTACTCATCTGGAATAAGTGTTGAAATGTAAAAACATAACAATTAATGTTTATAATAAATAGTATTGTTTCTCTGTAAGTAGATAGCACTTTTTCTTTTGTATTGTTGCTCATTTCAATATATTAAGTCTGTTCTGATTAGGCTAAAAATGCGTTACGTAATGAAACCAGTGCGGTAATGAACTTCATTACGTAACTCAAATCACCTCAAATGAGTGCGGTAATAATGACTTATCCAAGCAGTCGTAGATAAAAAATATTATATACCTAATAAATATCAGTCCATAACAAAATTATGATACGGCTCATAAATACTAATTTAATAATAATTTTATTCATTCAGACAGTATAAATTCAATTTCTTTTCTATCATCTTTTAAACTATTACCCAGCACTTTTTTTTTTAAATAGTCGATTTTTCGTGCACTTAATGATTATTAAAATTAATAACAGAATTAATTAAAATGGTAATATAAATTAACAGTTAAATAGTTGTAGTTGTGCTGTATACATGGAGAACATATGTATCTGAACATTGTTGTTGAGACAAGTTAACAACGTTCAACGCCTCGAGGTTGTTATTTAGTTATCGAGATCGATTCGAAGGGAAGTTAATTATAGAACATTTTGAAACTAAGGTCTCTTAGATACTCACTCTGTGGAAATTCCAAACCTGGGACTCTCGATATCATCGAAGGGTGTTTCGGCGCTTAAGAGGAGGGTGGTGTTTGATCCATGGGTTGTTGCCCTAGCGTGCACTCCTAAATATTTGTACATGCTATGTGAAGTGTCTGCCTAAAGTGCGTAACAGGATTTCGTCATCTCATCGGAACGGGTTCTCGGCGACGCTTACCTTAACATCGACGCTCCATTCAAGTTTGTCCTTAACGAAGGTTCTCGCGTCAAACTTGGCATAGTCATTTCCATAATTCAGCGTACTAGATAGGTTGTAGCCATCCGTCAGGGGATTTATCCGGAGGAAGAACGATCCTACTTTCTTACCTTTAGCGCTCATCTGAAGAGCTACGCTTCTCAAAGTATCCTCACGGACCTCCGCAGTTCCTTGAAGATCGTGAGCTGCACCATCAAAAGTCAAGATGCCGTCTACGTTGAGTTCAGTCTGCGAGGTAGGCTTAAGAGTACAGTTCAAGTCGATATTGTGCCTAGAACAAGCGGGAAATACGTTTTGGGTGCCATCTGCGTTTTAATTTCGCCGAAGGAGCACGAATTTGCATTAAACATTATACGGCGGCTCGCGCAAAAAGTCCCAAATTGTTCCAGCACGGCGGGAACGATTATACCGTATTACTAATTCAAGGTTTCATCGTGCATGCGATTTATAATTGCCGCATTAATATTTTAGCGCTACGTTCACAAGGTAATTTATCTAAAACGTATTAAAAACGTATTATGCCGGAAAATGTAAAGAATATTTAAATTTTCTTTTTCGATTAACACGTTTTAAAAAAAATTTTTTGATTAGCCGATTTCGATTTAATCAAAACATCATCAGGAGCTAATACGTACGTCATTCCTTCTGAAGAGCGAACAATAAAGCTACCATTTACTTGGTCTTCACGAATACTTCCGTAAACGTTTAAGAATAGTGGGGAACTATAGACGTCAGCTCTCAGTAGCTTGTCACGTCCAGTCATGTTAACTTCGGCGCTAGCATTACACTTTGACAGTCTACGTAACGGTGCATCTAGTTGCAGGTTCACTTTGAAATCCTTTATGGAAGCATACCGCCAAACGGTGGCGAAATTAACCTGAAACAATCGCCAAGCGGACACACGGAATGATTAATTCGGTCGAAACACATACTGCGCTGCACTGGCCATGATATACAGCCCTTGGGGGTAATATTAAGGCCGCGGGAAAAAGTAATAGAAGGAAAGTCGATAAACGTGTAATGATTTATCGTCTGGTTAGGATATTTCCCAAACGCTCTACTTACTTTATTAGACCTGCTTCGAGGTGTATCGAAATCCAGTCTTATCTTCTTCTCAGCGTCTGCGAAATCTTTAAAGAAGTGCAGCTTTACTTGCGGCACGTTGAATAGCGGTGAATTTATATGGAAATCAACATCGGACTCCAAGGATTCCTTTCCATGTATCTACACCAAAATGCAACCTTTTTATCCCTCTTATATTTTACATACAATTTCATTAAAACGAGAACCGTTCATACATTCACAAGATTTCATTCGGAACATTTCGTATTTATCGTTCCTTGCATTTCGTTATTTGTATTGAGACAGGGGTTTAAGAGAAAAAAGGAAGTTTTATTGCTACACGATAAAAGCTCACCCTCGATAGATAAAAACAAATAACCAACACTTATTGCATCGCACCCCATGTATTTATTTAAGTGCATAAGGGTGCATATAAAATAGATATCATTCAATTACAAATCCCCTCCCCCACTGACCTGTAAGTCTCCATCGAAGAACGCATCAGTTCTCTTCGTGGTCACCCTAAATTCAGTGCGGTAACGTTTCGAATCTGCACGAAGTGCCCCGGAGAAGTCCACTAAGGGAATGTCGTTGGAAGGCGTGTGAAGGTGGACGGTCAAATTGTACACGTTTTCAGATCCAGTCGAACTAATGTAGTGCACTTTCGCACCGGTCTACAAGAATAACCCGTAGTTAATCGAATTCGAAGGGGAAGTCCCATCAATACCCACCTTTATCCAACTGGTGTCGTTCTGGTAGTCGAAACTCAAGTCCACTAAATATTTACTCTGCGGAACTAAGTTTATAGAAAAGCCCGCAAAAATCGACTTAAATGTCTTATATGGGGTGCTTAAATAAAATTGATTTTCTATGTTATAGCGTCCCTAAAAAAATCAACAGAATGAAATAATTCTTTATTACAATCGCAATGTAATCTACCCTATAATCAAATTCATTTCTTAATTCAGCCTTTCCGTTGGGCAACGTAAGGGATGCTAAAAGGTCGTATACGGTTCCTTTTTGTTCAATATCTATATAACCCTGCATGGTAGGGTACAGCAAAGTATCAATTTCAACGAATCCCTCCCAGCTAAGCGGATCCTCCCTACCGATGTTAACTTGACCCGGTTCGTCACCGTTGGCTAACTTCTCATTGTAGATCTGCTGCGTCTCGATGCCTAATTCTTTCAGAAATTTCGACTTGGGTTTTCCCCGGACTATAACTCCCAACTGAAAGTATATAATATTGCTGCAATCGCCGTAAAGATTCTCAACGTTTACCACGCGAAATGAGCAAAACGAGGGCTGAACGCTGGCCGCTCTCGCGCATAAGTTGGAGAACGTGTGCGCCATTAAACGCGTAATTTGCTGTAATAAGAATTTTCTTATGATTTCACCCTCCAACCCTCGCTTCGCCAGGTAAAACTCTAATGCTTTTATAAATTGCCTTCGCCATCCCTCTACTTTACCTCCACTTGAGCGGAATGAAAGATGTTTTATGATATTTTTTGATGTTCTCTACGGAGGCGGTGAATACAAGCCTCCAAACAGCCGCAATTTGTATTATTTAATACCTCAGGTGGAAATTGAGCGCGCCTGGTTTTTATATTTTTGTAAAAGAAAAAATATATAAATACTGTGCTTCTTTTTTATAAGATGTTTAATCGACTATTAAAATTACTCCTTTCCAAAGGGAACCAACATGAAGAACGCATGAAATTTCGGATCGATCACAACAACAAATACAGGGATTATACAGTGTGTCCCCGAATAGGTGAACGACTCTTATAAAAAGTAAAATTTTTTCGATATTAATTGTCATTTTTTTGGTTGCATTGGGTTGGGTTGCTTGATTAAAGACTAATTTTGAACAGATTTTTAATTTTTAAAAAACAAATGAGTGTTGACAGTGAAAGAAAAACTTTTTTTGTGGCAGGTAAAGTACCTTTTCTGTTTACAATACGTGAAAATGTTACTAAGTTAAGTGTTGTTCAGAACTATGAAAATATGCAAATTTTTGGAATGATTGGCCTACTTTGATAAAAATTTGCATATGACCATAACTTTTCATTCTGAATAAAATTTCTTAGTAACATTTTAGCATACTGTAAACAGAAAAGGTACTTTACATGACACACAAGAAGTTTTCGCTTCAGTGTCAACACTCGCTTGCTTTTTAAAAGTTGAAAATATGTTCAAAATTAGTCCTTAACCAATCAGGGCTAAACCCCAAAAGATAGCAATCAATATCGAAAAAATTTTACATTTTATAAGAACCGTTACACCTATCCGGGGACACTGTATACAGTGTACAGTGTCCACCAAAAAGTCAACAACACCCTGTTTTTTTGGATTCATTTCTTTTAACCTTCAATTTATCAAATATATCATATAATGATTCTAAAAAATACAGTCAATATGTTTTTTTTTAAATTTTGCGTTATTTTTGATTTATAAATTTGGCATGGAAATTTCAATAATATATATAATAATAATACATATCATATCAAGATTCTTAAAAATACAGTCGATATGATTTTTTGAAAATTTGGTATTATTTTTGATTTATAAATTAGATAATTTTTTCTTTAATAATTTTTTCCTGGATATTTCAATAATATTATCATAATAATAATTTTCTTATCATGTCATAAACTAGAATCTTTAAGCTAAAATTTAACACACATATCAAGATTCCTAAAAATACATTTGATATGACTTTTTGAATATTTCGCGTTATTTTTGATTTATAAATTTGGCAATTTCTTTAATAATTTTTTCCCGGAAATTTCAATAATATTATCGTAATGTTTAATATCATATCATAAACTAGAATCTTGAAGCTTCAACTTAACATACATATCATATCGTTATCCTAAAAAATACAGTCGATAGGTTTTTTAAAAATTTATTATTTTTGATTTATAAATTTGGCAATTTCTTCTTTAATAATTTTTTCCTGGAAATTTCAATAATATTATCTTATAATTTTTTATCAAACCATTAACTGGAATGTTTAAGCTTCAATTTAACACACATATCAGATCAGAATTCTTAAAAATACAGTCGATATGATTTTTTGAAAATTTTGTATTATTTTTGATTTATAAATTAGATAATTTTTTCTTTAATCATTTTTTCCTGGATATTTCAATAATATTATCTTATAGTTTTTGTATCATATCATAAACTAGAATCTTGACGCTTCAACTTAACATACATATCATATCATGATCCTTAAAAATTCAGTTAATAAGTTTTTTTTTAAATTTCGTATTATTTTTGATTTATAAATTTGACAATTTCTTCTTTAATAAATTTTTCCTGGATATTTCAATAATATTATCTTATAATTTTTATATCATATCATAAACTAGAATCTTTAAGCTACAATTTAATATACATATGATATCAAGATTCTTAAAAATACAGCCGACCGGTTTTTTTAAAAATTTCATATTTTTTATTTATAAACTTGACAATTTCTTTAATAATTTTTTCCTGGAAATTTCAATAACATTATCTTATAATTTTTTTATCACACCATTAACTGGAATGTTTAAGCTTCAATTTAACATACATATCATATCAAGATTCCTAAAAATACAGTCGATATGATTTTTCGAAAAATTCGTATTATTTTTGATTTATAAATTAGATAATTTTTTCTTTAATCATTTTTTCCTGGATATTTCAATAATACTATCTTACAGTTTTTGTATCATATCATAAACTAGAATCTTGACGCTTCAACTTAGAAAGGTTTTCAAAATTCAGTCAATAGGTTTTTTTAAAAATTTCGTATTATTTTTGATTTATAAATTTGACAATTTCTTCTTTAATAAATTTTTCCTGGATATTTCAATAATATTATCTTATAATTTTTATATGATATCATAAACTAGAATCTTTAAGCTACAATTTAACATACATATGATATCAAGATTCTTAAAAATACAGTCGACCTGTTTTTTTGAAAATTTCATATTATTTTTTATTTATAAACTTGACAATTTCTTTAATAATTTTTTCCTGGAAATTTCGATAATATTATCTTATAATTTTTTTATCACACCATTAACTGCAATGTTTAAGCTTCAATTTAACATACACATCATATCAATGTTAAAAATGCAGTCGATATGATTTTTCGAAAAATTCGTATTATTTTTGATTTATAAATTAGATAATTTTTTTTTTTTTATCATTTTTTCCTAGATAGATTTTTGTATCATATCATAGAATAGAAGACTAGAATCTTTAAGCTAGACTAATAACATATGGGTATTCCATTCAAAGTTCCGATTTTTTCCAGTTAAATAACGAAAATTGGTGATTGAATTTTTGACCACCTGTATAAGATTGACCGATACAACTAATTACGGTCAATTTGTGAACATTTGAAGCGTAATTAGACAAATTTTCAACTTTACTGCTTGTATAGTGACCAAGAAATACGATTTTAAAAGACTCATTGATAACTGCTGAAAAAAAGGAAAATTAAAATAACAATCTCTATCAAAGTCAAGCTATTTTTCTATAAACAATTTTAATATGTAACAAAAAACACAACATTCTTGGTAAAATAACGATTTTGCGGTCTACTTCCAGTGAAACCCGGAAGTGACGAATACCTTGAAAATGTTTTATATTGAAAGATTAGAATGAACATCCCATAGCTGACTTTTTCGCGGACACTGTATATACAGGGTGATTCACAACCTATACGCATAAACTTAGGGTTTATTCCTCATGACAAATAATGATTAATAGGTGAAAAAATTGTAATAAAATATTATATATAGCAAAAACTGCTTACCACTTAATTTAATCGTTTTCAGTTCTTACAAAAATATATAGTGTTAAGCAAAAAGAAAAAAATGAAAGAAAATAAAAAAAATGTGTACTTATTAATGATTTTATGAAATTGCATAAAAATGATTTTCAACAAACTCGTTAATAAATGAGATCAAATTTAAAAGATCAAAGCGTAATTTCAGTAATTCAGAACAGACGGAAACGAGAAAATCTTCTAAGGACCAATAATTTGGCGAACGCTTTTGAAGTAAATCTATAAAAGCATTAATCGGAATTATCAACCTATATTTTTTTATTCTATTCATTATTAATGTTTTTATATAAAGTGATATTTCTGGATTATCTAACACTTATCTGATAGTTATTAAGCTTTTAAAGGTCACGAGAACTTGTTCTTGAGTGCATTGCCGTAATGAAAACGTCGAAAGTTTAAAGATGTTGAAATTTAACGTTATTTTTGGTACATTTAGTAGTTTAATTAAGTAGAAGTTTTGGCTTTACTTACAAACTACGTACTAATCTATAGAATATTAGTTCCAAAGTTTGTAATCAGTATTCCAACGTGTTGAAATGTGGAGGCTTATATCCGCAACTGCTGCATTGTTTGCAAGTTTTGTAATCCTTAAGGATTATATCGTACATGGAGATTTCGCTAAGTATTCAATATTTAGCTGACACCGGCGCGGGACGTTAATATCTTGTGAAAACTGAAACTCGCCGGGGAACGAAACCGGACTTTAAGTCGTAAGTGTGAACCGTTTTTCATCACCATTAATACTTTTAAATTAAGTATTTTATATACGATTTATGGATATGATGCAGTCGATAATTAAGTAAGTGGACGTTAAGCTGTGTGTGGGATTAAATACGTAAAGGATTAAATATATAAAAAATTAAACACATAAAGGATAAAATGTGTTGTAAAAAATGCTATTAATACATATTCCAATTACGATGGGAGTGATTAAATAGGGAGTTAAACGTTGTTTTCCGTTTAAATATTGAACGACCGAAGTTATAGAAACCCCAAACCCATTTAAGCCAACGACAATCTGAGATCATTGACTTTACTCTGAACTATCCATTGAAAGCCGGCGGGATCGATAGCTCGGTACACGGGTTTGTTTGGTGAGTACATCGTAAAACGCGGCAGGAGCCGGACTGGCCACTTGTTTCAATCACTTTTGTAACATGTATGACCTGTTGACCTTCCCCCCGCGGCTCGGTTTGATGTGTACATACCCTGGTCTCGGCCAATTTGATGGACAATTCAGAATCCAAACCTTCCCTGTAGATCAGTTTGGCCACAACACCATTTTCCTCCAATCCTTCTATCGGTGTGAACAACTTGTACGAGTGCTCGAAATTCATTACATCTTCGTATCGCCAAACGCCCGTGAAACCAACTAAACCGATTGGCTTCCATTTTAAACGAAAATCGGCCTGAAAATACAACGGTGGAATAAAAATGTTACACAAAAGGATTTCTAGGTAGAATTTACTTCGTTTTCTTGAAGTTTTCCGACGACCAAAATCTCTTGCAATACTTCTATCGGGGTAGCTAAGTTGAATATAATATCAAAATCGTTCAGTGCGAGTATTAAGAGCTTAATTTCGATTCCGCTATTTCCGGTGGGGTGGCGAATCATCGCTACGAGATGTCTGTTGTCCTCCATAAATCCAAAATGACCACTTAATTTGTTGTACTTTTGAAACGGTGTTGTTACGTTGAACGATAACATACTTTTGGTAAGTTTTTGAAAATCTCCTATTATAATTAAATGAAACGAATTAGAAAATAAAGATTTAAAGATTTAAAGACGTAGTTTGATAGTACTCGAGGGAGAGAAGGGAGAGCATAAATTATTTAAGGGAAGAGAAGTTTCTGAGTAATTTAAGGCATTCGTAAAGAAGTCAAAGTGGATATTGTTACCTTCGACGGTGGCGGTAAATTTTCGATGATCGATGTCTAAATCGGCCACCCCTTTAAGGTTTCTGGAATTAGTTACATAAATCTTGCTAACAAGGAGTCCCTTATTGAAGCCCTTGTAGGGGGTACGTATGGTAACGGTGCCGGTTAAATTCTTCATCCGTTGGTCCTCGTCGATTTTCCACGAGCTGTTTAAATCGATCATCTGGCTCGGGTCGTGCTGAAAGATGAAGCGGTGCATGTAATAAAATAAAGGGTGAATCCGTACGGGATAAGTACCATTACGTGGACGATTGTATCTATTTGCGTCGCGTTATGGCTATGTTTAATACTTAAACTGAAGGAGGGTATGTCGTGTACCGTGCTGGCGAGAGCTAATCGAAGCTCGCACAAGAATGGCGTAGCCAGGCCGGAGTAATCGCCGTATAGATCGACATATACACGCTGATCGTGCTGCCAATGTATGCTCCCGTTCACCCTGTACATGTTATCCATGTGGTGGTACCTAAACATTAAGCGATTACGAGTACGGGCACATTAATTTTGCACGAAACCCACCCGGCGCTCAGCGACGTCCTCCTTAAATCCTCGAACGGCGTCAGCAACTCAGATTTAAACATTACGTAGCTTTCCTCTCCGCTCTTGTAGTTCACTCCAACCTGTACCTGAAAAGCGTCCTCGGGGCTCCACGCCAGTCGTGCCAACGTCAAAAAATCACCGGCTAAAGCAAAATTATATTATATATTTTTCATTTTAAATTTACTAAAAGTCACAAACGTCTAGTTTAAACGCTTCAGACGCAACAAACGTGTAAAAGATGAAAAATCCATACCTTCCCAAAGAAATTTATATTCCCCCCTGATGGATCGCCCTGGATAAGAGACGTCTAAGTTTCCACGGTAGTCGTAGGGGCCGGGGTTGGCGATGTAGATGGTGACCGCGAGTTTTTGGTTAGGGTCGCGGTTGGCATCCCATTTGATTTCGAGGCCCAGGTCTTTATGCGACTCCTTATTATGGCCCCACATCTCCAAGTGGATATCTCGCAATCTGGAACATTCATTAGCGTATGGGCTTGCAGTTTACGAAGTCCGTCCCTATTAAACAACACCGTACACGTCGTTACCCAACTTACTGGTCAATGTGAAGCTCCAGCTTTATCTGTCGGTCCGCTTTACTGGATATAGAATTCGCGAACCAGTAAACTTTAGTTTTATACTTGATCTTGCCTTGCGTTTGCATGTCGATAGCGGACTTGGAGAAGTGCTCAAAGTACAGCTGGTAGTTGTCTTTGGATTGATTCGCTTCCAAATTCACCTTAAGCTTATCGTTATCCACGTAGAAGTGAAGGTCGATTATTATCTCGTCGAAACTGGACGATTTTAATTTCATCATTTTAAAATGATGGTCGGATTGACTGACGGTGCTTTTATCGTAATAAGTTCCGCCCAATTCCATGTTGAATCCGGTGAACCACACTCCTTTCAAGCCGATCTATACAAAAAAATAAAATTCTTTTTAGCCTTTTTAAAACATTATGCGCTAATCCCTTAATGTCTTCCCTCATTAGTAAAAAGCCAGATATGACAACTAATCACAGAGCAAAGGGAAAAAGGTCCCTCTTGCACGCTTCATAATCCAAACTTTCCGGTCATAAATCGCCTTAAGTTGGCATATAATTAATGCGAAAACTTACGTCGTAGCTATTTTCCTGTTCTTTCAAATGGCCCTCCAATATCATGGGTTTGTAGGAAGGAACGGTGATATTGAGCCTTCCCTGAAGGTGCTTATACGGTTGCTTGGGATTCCACCAGTGCGTGCGTATGATAATGTCCTTCCCCTCGGCGTACCGTGTAGACAGCTTTCCATCGTAAATACAACCGTGCGTCACCGTCCAAGTGAAATTTAACCCTAAGTCTAAATTCGTCGCTTCTTTCGTCAACGACGTTGATGCTTCGAATATCGTTAGGTTCTTGTTAAACTTATGAGCGACAGCCGCTTGAAAGTAGCTCGTGTTTGCCCTCGATTCTTCACCTTTAAACACGCTCTCTCCGAATTCCATGCCAAATTTTAAATCCATATGTCTCTCCCCATTCTAAAAGATATTTATATATTTTTTATATTGATAAAAAAAATTTAATATACGTGCCATTGATTTGAATGTAGAATTAAAATTTACATCTGGGTATTGAGTGTTATTAAACACCGCATTCGCTACGTATATTATTAATCTTTGCTTCGATTTATTGGATCCCTCGAAAAGAAAGTTGACTCTTTCCGTTGATGTGTTAACGAACGTGTAATCTAATATAAGATTTACTCCAAACGTCGTTTCCTTTTTAGTTATATACCCGAATAAATGGGATTCTAATTTTTTTGTTTGAAAGTTTAAATTAACATCGGTTTGGGCGACTCCTTGTTTTTCCACAGATTTTATTATTCCTGTATAAATTAAATAAAAAGAATTAAATCAAAAAATTTACCACTAAAAATAATGAAAATAAGGACTAGATATCAGACATAACGTCTTTGTGAGAGATTAAATACTGCTCACAGAAGATTAAATATTGCTTGCAGAAGTAAATAGTGCTTACAGGAGACTAAATGTTATTGGTGAAGACTAGATACTGGTTGTAGAAGATTAAATGCTGCTTGCAGGAAACGAAATATTACTTGCAGAAGTAAACAGTGTTTATTGGAGACTAACTATTATTCGCAGGAGACTACATACTGCTTGAAGGAGATTAAATACTGTTTGCCCAAGACTATGAAGTGCTCGCAGGAGATAATATTGCTTGCTGAAGATTAGATACTGCTTGTAGGAGATTAAATATTGCTTGCAGGAGACTGGATATTGCTCGCAGGAGCATAAGTACTGCTTGCAGGAGAGTAAATACTGCTTGCAGGAGAGTAAATACTGCTTGCAGGAGACTAGATACTGCTCGCACTTCTGCTCTCAGATGCGAATATCGAGAATAATATGAAAATTTCCTGAATTAGTAGTTTTACAGGTTGTTAATGGTATTACTGAGGATTTGGAGCCTGAAACCAAGTCTGCCCTGCTTGAAGTTTATGGAAGAAATATCTCGACTTCGAAGACGTCGGCCGCCCTAAGCGTTGATCACAATATTTTGTGGCGGCCGAGATTATTTCTTATATCACGAACATAACTTGGGATGGCCGACGTGTTCGAAGTCGACCGAGATTATTACTTTTATAAAGTTGTTAATGGTATCACTCGGGATTTGGAGCATGAAACCAAGTCTGCCCTGCTTGAAGTTTATCTAAGAAATATCTCGGCCGACTTCAAAGACGTCGGCGGCCCTAAGTTATGTTCGTGATATAAGAAATAATCTCGGCCGACTTCGAAGACGTCGGCCGCCCCAAAATATTGTGATCAGCACTTAGGGCGGCAGACGTCTTCGAAGTCGACCGAGATATCCTATATCCGATATATCTATACTATGTAGTGCTCGCAGGAGATAATATTGCTTGCAGAAGATTAGATACTGCTTGCAGGAGATTAAATATTGCTTGCAGGAGATAATACTGCTCGCAGGAGCGTAAATACTGCTTGCAAGAGCGTAAATACTGCTTGCAGGAGAGTAAGTACAGCTTGCAGGAGAGTAAATACTGCTTGCAGGAGAGTAAATACTGCTTGCAGGAGACTAGATACTGCTCGCACTTTTGCTCTCAGATGCGAATATCAAGAATAATATGAAAATTTCCTGAATTAGTAGTTTTACAGGTTGTTAATGGTATTACTCGGGATTCGAAGCGTGAAACCGGAGCGCGTACCCTGCTTGAAGTTTATGGAAGAGATATCTCGGCCGACTTTGAAGACGTCGGCCGCCCTAAGTGTTGATCACAATATTTTGTGGCGGCCGACGTCTTCGAAATCGGCCGAGATTATTTCTTATATCACAAACATAACTTGGAACGGCCGACGTCTTCGAAGTCGACCGAGACTATTACTTCCATAAAGTTGTTAACGGTATCACTCAGGCTTTGAAGCATGAAACCAAGTCTGCCCTGCTTGAAGTTTATCTAAGAAATATCTCGGCCGACTTCGAAGACGTCAGCCACCCTAAGTGGTGATCACAATATTTTGGGGCGGCCGAGGTTATTTCTTATATCACGAACATAACTTGGGACGGCTGACGTCTTCGAAGTCGACCGAGATTACTACTTCCATAAAATTGTTAATGGTATCACTCGGGATTTGGAGCATGAAACCAAGTCTACCCTGCTAGAAGTTTATCTAAGAGATATCTCGGCCGACTTCGAAGACGTCGGTCACCCTAAGGGCTGATCACAATATTTTGTGGAGGCCGACGTCTTCGAAGTCGGCCGAGACTGTTTCTTCCATAAAGTTGTTAATGGTATCACTCAGGATTTGGAGCATGAAACCAAATCTACCCTGCTTGAAGTTTATCTAAGAGATATCTCGGCCGACGTCTTCGAGTCGGCCGTGATTATTTCTTATATCACGAACATGACTTGGGACAGCCGACATCTTCGAAGTCGACCGAGACTATTACTTCCATAAAGTTGTTAATGGTATCACTCGGGATTTGGAGCATGAAACTAAGTCTACCCTGCTTAAAGTTTATGGAAGAGATATCTCGGCCGACTTCGAAGACGTCGGCCGCCCTAAGTATTGCTCACAATATTTAGGGGCGGCCGACGTCTTCGGGATGTGGAGCATGAAACTAAGTCTACCCTGCTTAAAGTTTATGGAAGAGATATCTCGGCCGACTTCGAAGACGTCGGCCGCCCCAAGTTGAACTCGACACTTGAAGTTGGCCGAGATTATTTCTTATATCACGAACAATACTTGGAGCAACTTTCCTTCTATAACATTTTGTCATATTTCCAACAATAATGAAAATATCTGCTGAGACAGCTAAATTCAAACGCACTGTATACTGCTCACAAGAGTTAATATTGTTTGTAGAAAATTGTATACTGCTCGAGGAGATTAGATACTGCTTGTAGAAGACTAGATACTGCTTCCAGAAGACTATACTGCTTGCAGGAGATTAGATACTGCTTGTACGAAATTAAATACTGCTTACAGGAGACTGAAAACTTTTTGCAGAAGACTAAATACTGCTAATAGAGGACTAGATATCACTGACAGAACACTAGGATACTTAATGAGGATGAAATAATTATAAAAATTGATTTTGATGTTATTTGAAAGCGTTTCAAAAATATCGCAAAATAGAAAAACTTGCTTGGTGTTTGTGAAAATGTCTCAAATCAATTAAGAACAGCTTAAGGTTACTTAATAGAGATAAAAAAATTCGAAAAATCAATTGAGATGCTTTCCAGAAGTTTCAAAAAATTTAAAAATATGAGAAAAGCTCATTGGTGTCGATCAAACTGGTTAAAAGCATCTCTAGGATACTTATTAAAGATGAAAAACTTAAAAAAAAATAATTTTTATATTATTTGAGTGTTTCAAAAACAGGAAAATCTTGTTGGTGTACGCGAAAATGGCAAAATCACTTAATAACATTACAGCAAATGTAATAAGAAGGAAAACTGCAACAATCAACATATTTATAATATATTCATTACCCTTTTTTCGTGGAAAAAAACAACAAAATAAGTTATAATAATAATATACTTTACCTTTAATACCAGCTTTACGTTCATTATTGACATCTAAAATGAGTTTTGGGGAGTAGTTAAACCCATGGTGGATAGGTGTCTTTTGTAGAGATAAGAGGGCGCCGAATTTTCTTTCGGAGTTGACGTCAAAGGCTAGCTGCAAATATTTTTCGGCGTCGGTGTTCTTGTACTCTCCCTTCGCTAAGAAGTTGTTCTTGAGAGAGTCTAAATTTAGCGTTAGGTTGCCGGTTTCATCGTTATGGGATATATTGAACGACAAGACCCTTTGGGTAACGGCCCCCGGGGTCTCGAAAATAAAGCTAATGTCGGTCTTATCGCCAACAGTATTGTGCCTGTATTCCATTAGGTATGTCTTCGCTGTGGGGTCAATTTTTTGAATTCCCAATTTGAATGCCGACGGACCGGCCAATATAAAGTTGGGGGCGTTTTCCATTTTAGTCACGTTTGCGAAATCGTACCGAGCGCACAGCTTCAACCCTATGACTTCCACCGGCCATGAACACAACGAATGAGACACTCTATTTTTTTCAATACCGGACTGTTTCTCCTCCGCGCCTCCTTTCATTACAATTAATTCCGATCTGTAATTATATCGGAATTGTAATACTAAGAAATTGAAATGATTAAAAAAAATTTTATTGAATGCTAGGATTGGAGATATTGAGAGTACATTTATCCAAATTGCGAACTAGGGGTTGAATCGTGGGGTTTCCGTAATTACGGAGTATCCAAGTTTTTCCGGGATTGCACAAACCCATTGAACCACGGTAGGGCTAAATTAATTAGCAATGCCCAAATGTGTGTATTCAGGGGAAATATTAATTCCAATAAAGCGTTTGAGGTACCGGCCTGCACTAGAACGCATCAGGAATTCGCAGGCCGTTTACGAAATGCCTCGGGCCGGCTGAAAATTCTCCAATTTTACTTTCTCGTTGGCCATGTTAACGTGGCAGTTTAATAATAAGGCTTAGCTAAAATAAAAAGCTCACCTTTGCAAAAACTTGTTAAGAATTTCAAATTTAATAAAACTTTTCAATGCTTTCCGGAATATCACTTCATGTCGGGGGTCTTAATAGAAAATTTTCAATTATGTCGATATAAATGAAAACATTTACATTTACCCCAGGGAGACCGGACGCGGTGGTTTTCTTTTATTTCCAGACAAAATTCAATTACCAACTCAACTTTATCTATCAAGATTCCATTAAATTTGTTTGCTTACTTTGCGTCTGTAACGTCTGTATTTTCTTCGCGTTTCTTTTACGAACAAATTGATAAAATATCAAAATATCTTAATCTAAACTACTTTTAACTTTAATCGTAATTTTATTAATACTTACTTTGCTCCTATGATATCCGCGCTTTGCTTGGGCATCCCAAAAGAAACTTTAATGTGTTTGGTGCTTCTCACAGCGACGTTTGCTTCCACGGTGGACGCTGTGTACAAACTACTCTTAACTTTAATTCCGGTGTCCAGGTAATAAGCGTCTACAGACATGCTTCCTACAATGTCTAAAGCAACGTTAGGTTGAAGATGAGCATCCATGTCTAAGGTAAGATTCTTTTTGAAATTTGCCGAAGTCAAAGATCCTTGCAGTTTTAGGTTTATAGCCGCCGTTCCAATGGCGTTTAAAGTTAGCGGGAGCCCAGCTCCGGTGGGCACCACATAACTGCTGTCCAAAAACATCGTTGCTTTGTTGTACTTAATTTCTTTCCCGGATAAGATTCGTTTCAAAAAATCAATCGGATTCAACTCGCTCAATGCGTCTCGAATTTCTTCCTGCCCGTTGAATGTGACGTATTTCAAATCGTTCCCAAACACTTTAATAGCAAAACCTAACTTTGGATTATCAGAATTATTATTATCGATAAAGTGGGAATATTTATCTATCTCCGACTGCAACGTTTCGGCTTCATTCGCAGCCCTGGGCCATCTAATTTTAGGCAACTTATTTAGTATCTTATCGCCGGTGAGGGGCCCTTTCGGTCCAAAGATCGATTCCAAATAATGCTCAAAACCCTCAAACCGACCGTCTATCTGGAAGATATTGATGGACTCTCCGAATAAATCAACGGTTAAGTTGAACGTCGCCGATCGAGGGACGTAGGACGACGGCGAGAATATGAGGTTGCCCTCGAAGTTACCACCTACGGGTATAATTGCGCTTTTACCGACGAGGAAGCTTACGGGCATGCAAAGTTCAATCATAAAAGTAACGCTCACCCATATTATACTCCTCGAAGAACACCGAACCCTCGTAGTTGTTGGAGAACTTACGTACGTCATTACTGAACTTTTTAACCAGGTCCTTTTCGGAGAGCAGACTTTGGATTTCTACTCGAGTCGGGATCGACGACTTCAAAAGATTATTCAGGTGAGTCCATATGAAAGAACCAACTGAAAGCGAAACCGATATCTCTTTAATATTTTTATATGATACTAAGTATTTTATAAATTATTACCTTGATTAACCTCCTCGACTTCTAAAGCGTGGCGCACGGTTGATAAAAGTAAATAATCGGGACACCTCATGATTTGAAGGTAAGAGGCGATTCGAATTTCCGTATCTTCAGAGACGTTTCTAAATATGGTTTCGAAATAATTTCGGGAATTCTCGCATGTATAGCGACGGTAGACTTGAATAGCTTCGACTCTGATACTCGTATGGAGAGTGGAATCTTCGATCATACGGTTTAGGGTGTCCTTAAAGTCCTCGTTGATAATTCCAATGTTGGCGAGAGATTTCAAGGATATTATGAGCTGGAATTCAAAACGGATTAACCACTCCTTTACGTTCATGCGAATTTCGAAATGGAATTTCGTATTTGGAACGGGTCAACGAATATCGCGTTCCAATTTTGAAGTTGATGTTTGCGGACGGTGCCCGATCCGAAAAACGAGCGGGATATTGTTTGCCCAATCATGTCGAGTCGCAAATGGCCAGAGGTCCCCGCCATAATTCGTGCGGCACCCCCTAAACGCCCTTCGCATTTTTAACGGGGAACCGCCGTTCGGATTTCTGTACGAGGGAACATTCCGGCGATAAATTTTAAATTTTCTTAAACTTTAGACGGACTTGCTGAGATTAACGCAAGTTTAACGCAAGTTCCGACAATGGGACAATGTGGATCGTTGAAATTTTAAACTGTACAATGCCGACGCTAAACGTTTGCTCTTTTGGTTCACGTCGCCGGTGAGATGGAGGTCCCAGTTGTCATGAAATATTTGCTCTTTGAAATTACCTTTAAAATTCATTATTTCTAAATCAAAAATAACTTTTCAAATAGATTTTAACCATGAAAAACAGCGGGATTTTATTAATTCCCCTCATAAAAAAGAAATGGTTTTGATATTCCATAAAAATGGATTAATATCGGAAACGTGATATTTTCAATAACGAGGGTACTTTAAAAATCGGAATTAAAACATTATTAGATTTGCGAACGGATGAAAACATTTACCCTTGCCTTCTCGGTGAGCGAATGGTGTTTTCGTTGAGGGGGAGAATATGTTATCCTTCCGGGGGGTTGTTTACGCGTATTATATGATTTTTTTCTACTCACCGCTTCTTGGGTGACTCGATCACGTTCGGAGGTTTCGTAAGACGATCTTGTTCGTTCCTCGACATGTTTGACGATGGTTTCCACAGCTTCTCTGGAAATGCAGTCTGGATTTTGCATGCAAAACGTGTGCGTTAAGGAAGACACCCCTAAGGGCACCGTGGCTACGTGATATTTATTTTCTAATAACTGCTGCATAGCCTCCACCATATGTATATCCGGCCGCGGTATGAGGGCCACAGATGTCATCCACTCGTTCGTGGTTCTTAAGGGCACGCCATCTCTAATAATGATGTTTTTCATTAACCGAACTGATGCACTACTCCCTAAGTGTGGCAACGCATCTAAAACGTGCTTTCTACAACCAAATTTTATTTTATTAGAAATTTTATTTATCTAATATCTAATTAACAAGTATTATATATATACAGGGTGCCCATTATGAATATAGTATATATCTCGGTAAATGTTGACTTTATAAAAAAACATTTTATACAATAGTTGTTTAATATTTTATTTGCCATAATAGGACTGCATTCAATTGTTTTTAATTCAGAAAACAAATGAGTAACGAATAACAATTCAATTTTTTTAAATAGATCTTTTACGATTACATAAAATTTTTGTGTCCTTACATCAGAAACTTTTTGAAAAACATGTAAAAATTGTAACATTAATTGTAATTTGTAATTAACAATAACATTAATCTAGATATCCAAGATCGTCAAGTACCTCGAATTATTACCTTAAATTAAATTTACACACAAAATAAAACAAATAAACAAAAAATTAGTGTACATCTCCAATAATTCGAGGTAATTCGAGGTACTTGACGATCTCGGATATCAAGATTAATGTTATTAGTTAAATTTTCTTCTACGAAGATATATACTATATTCCATACATAATGGGCACCGTATACAGGGTGTTTCGGTGACTCGGGAAACAAATGTAACCACATGTACTAGAGTGAAAATGATGACGATTCATGTAAAAAAAAATTAGTAAAAGTTCTCAAATTGCAAAGATACAGGCCATCAAAGTTAAGAAATTTTAACACATTTTTCTAAATCTCTTAAACACTATTTATGGTAAAGCGTTGAAATTTGGTACAGTGTAAACTAATATCACGTAAAATCGTTAGGCAATTTTTGAGCTGGATTGGTACGCGGGAACAATGCTATACAGGCTGTTCCTAAAGTTTGTTTGCTCAGAACTTTTTTATTCTATCATAACACTACATTTATTTTTGCAGTTTCTAAAAGCAATTTTAGTTTAGAAACTTTTATCACTCTTAGAGAATATTGATAGAAACCACCGTTTTCGTATTAAATGCAAAAATGTTAGGCTCCGAATTCAATACCACTAAAAAGTAAATAAATAAATAATCTAAATTGGCAATGACAAGTGAAAATCGAACTGAGCTGTCATAACTATTATGTATACAACATGTCCAAGTGTAGATTTAGCTAAATTACATTTTTAATTTGTTTTAGTTGGTTTAATAAAAGAATCCAAAAACAATCAATTAAAAATCAACAAAAAAAAAACGACAACACTAACAGGAATAATAAAAAAAGTACACAAAATAACAAGACAAGTAATAAAAGATACTAAAGGAAATGTTCAAAAAGTTAGATTTCTTTTTTTTAGTGCGATTATTGAAATCGGAACCCAACATTTTTACATTTAACACGAAAACGGTGATTTTTATCAATATTATCTAAGAGTAATAAAAGTTTTTAAACTAAATTTACTATCAGAAACTGCAAAAATAAATGTAGGGTTATGATAGAATGAAAAAGTTCTGAACAAACAAACTTTAGGAACCATTGTTCCCGCTGACCGATCCACATCATAAATTGCCTAATGACTTTACATTACATTAAATTATACTGTACCAAATTTCAGCGTTCTACTGTAAATAGTGTTTAAGATATTTGGAAAAATGTGTTAAAATTTTCTAACTTTGATGGCCTGTATCTTTGAAATTTGAAGACTTTTACTAATTTTTTTTACATGAATCGTCGTCATTTTCACTCTAGTATATGTGGTTAAATTTGTTCCCCGAGTCACCGAAACATCCTGTATATGTATATACAGGGTGGTTCAGTTTTTAATCGGGAAACTTTACTAGGATGTAGTACTTGCCAAAATAACACAATTTTTTTATATAAACATAGGGTCGCAATTCTTTTGTTTTCGAGCTATGAGCGATCAAAGTTGAGAAAAAAATTTACATTTTGTTTTGTATTTCGGCTGCAAGTAAACCGTAGAATTTGAAACTTTGTACGTATGTACTACTGGTTAAGAACTTATTTTCAACCATACCTTAAACTTCCCCAACGCCCTCTTAGGGGATGAAATTCATTACTCCCTTGTTTTTTTTATAACAACTTTTTAACGCTATGGAATATGAACATAAAAAAATATGGGTTGTAAAGCTCACTCTTTAGTGGTACTTTTTTGTCTCTTTAGTATTTTCCTTAAAGTTAATAGTTTCCGTGTAAAAAAATAAAATATCGTGCCATGCACTGCTATGTGCCGCCATGTTTAGCCAAAATTATTCTAAAAGTTTGCTCTGAGAACTTGTAAGTTTCATTTACAGTGAATCCTCATAATTATTGCTGGTTATTAATAATTTTTGACGGTTATTAAGCCAGAGTATCAATTTTTTAATATTGTTTAAAACAACGTAATTTGTTCAGACAGGCATTAATCTTATTTATGGTTTTTATATGAAAATCACAATTAATTGGTGTTATTTAGTTGGTACTAGATCCTAGTAAGTGCACAACTTCCATAGCCACCTATAAAGAAAATTTTTTTTTAATAATAGCAGCGCTTTACATTACAATGTAGCATATTTTAAGAAAAAACTAAAGAGAGAAAAAAGTGCTAGTAATGAATAAGCTTTACAACCCATATTTTTCTTTGTTAATATTCCATGGCGTTAAGAAGTTGTTATAAAAAAATCAAAGGGGCTGTGAATTTCATCTCCTTAGAGGGCGCTAGGGAAGTTTAAGGTATGGTTGAAAATAAGATATTAACCAGTAGTACATACATACCAAATTTCAAATTCTATGGTTTACTCATACCCGAAATAAAAGATAAAATGTAAATTTTTGGCTCAACTTTGACAGCTCATAGCTCGAAAACAGAAGAGTTGCGACCCTATGTTTATATAAAAAACTTGTTTATTTTGACAAGTACTACGTCCTAGTAAAGTTTCCCGATTAAAAACTGAACCACGCTGTATACAGTGTGTCCGTAAAGTAACAGATATAGGCGATAAAATCATTATAAACGTTTTATGGAAAAATCCCTGAAACGGGTCTAAAGATTTAAATTTTTTGCAATGGTTTTGTGTAGATTTTAAATTTCTTCCGCCATTTTTAAGCGAGTTATGACGTCATCGGCATTTTTTTCAAATGGCAATCCCCCATTTTTATTACGGAATATGAAAGAAGATTTTTTTCTGAATCTAATACAGTTAATATTAATATTGCTTACATAAGAAAATTTTCGAGAAAAATTACTTTAAAGTTTAACTACTTCAGATTTGTTGACATGATGAAAATAGCAGTAGCCATGAGTAACTATGGTAACCAATTATTTTAAACAATTTCCTAAGTATCAAAAACTGATTTAGTAAGTAGTTGACCTCTTTAATACAACATATCCTGATCGCCAACTCATTAGCCAAAGTATGGTGAGCCTAGCTTTGACTACATTTAAACAGCATGGCCATCTCTCGAAGCATATCTCGAAGTCTGGCCTACTAAACGTTGCAAGGGAAGTTCAACAGATCGTGGTTTTGGCTGGGCAAGAAAACCCTCATGTTACTGTGAGGAGTATTGGGTCTAATTTCGACATTAGAACGGTTCATAAAGTTTTTAAACCTGCAAAATATCATTCCCATAAAGTAAACCTGATTCACGAGCAATGAATCGTAGTTTTTGCAACAACAATTTTGCAACGATGACGAAGACTTTGTCAAAAACATAATTTTTTCGACGAAGGGGCATTTACATTGAGTGGACAAGTAAATAGACAAAGTTGTCGGTATTCTGCTACCTTAAGTGGAAAGAGATGTTTAAATTTTTTCAAAGCGATGTCATTCCTTCCATCCCGATAATGTTGACACAACTCAATTCCAACGGCAGTTATTCCAACAGATGGCGCGCCACCACACTTCAAGAAGCTTTACTAAATCAGTTTTTGACACTCAGGGAATTGTTTAGAATAATTGGTTACCATAGTTACTCATGGCTACTGCTATTTTTATCATTATTCAAATTTGAAGTAATTAAACTTTAAAATAATTTTTCCCGAAAATTTTCTTATGTAACCAATATTAATATTGACTGTACTAGATTCAGAAAAAAATCCTCTATCATATTCCGCAATAAAAATAGGGGATTGCCATTTAAAAAAAATATCGATGACGCCATAACTCGTTTAAAAATGGCGGAAAAAAATTGAAATCTACACCAAAAAATTGAGAAATATTTAAATCGTTAGACCCGTTTCGGTGACTCGGGGAACAAATGTAACCACATATACTTGAGTGAAAATGATGATGATTCATGTAAAACAAAATTTGTAAAAATCCTCAAATTGCAAAGATACAGGCCATCAAGGTTAGGAAATTTTAACAAATTTTTCTAAATATTTTAAACACTATTTATGGTAAAGCGTTGAAATTTGGTACACTATAAACTAATATCACGTAAAATCAGTAGGCAAGTTTTGAGTTGGATCGGTTCGCGGGAATAATGCCATACAACTGTTTCTATAATTTGTTTACTCAGAACTTTTTTATTCTGTCATAACTCTACATTTATTTTTGCAGTTTCTAATAGTAAATTTAGTTTAGAAACTTTTATCACTCTTAGAGAATATTGATAAAAACCACCGTTTCGGTATTAAATGCAAAAATGTTAGGCTCCGAATTCAATAACACTAAAAAAAAAAAAATAAATAATCTGAATTAGTGAAAATCGAACTGAGCCGTCATTACAATTATGTATGCAACATTTCCAAGTGTAGACTTAGCTAAATCCATTTTTAATTTGTTTTAGTTGATGTAATAAAAGAATCCAAAAACAATAAATTAAAAATCAACAAAAAATAAAGAAAAAAACGACAACACTAACAGAAATAATAAAAAAAAGTACATAAAATAACAAGACAAGTAATAAAAAATACTAAAGGAAATGTCTAAAAACTTTGATTTCTTTTTTTTTTGTGCTATTATTGAAATCGGAACCTAATATTTTTGCAATTAACACAAAAACGGTGATTTTTATCAATATTATCAAACAGTGATAAAGTTTCTAAACTAAATTTACTATT